CAGTTCCCCTATAGACCCTCCCAGTATCATCCCAGTCCCTCCCAGTTTCCCCATAGACCCTCCCAGTTCTCCTATAGGCCCTCCCAGTCCCTCCCAGTTCCCCCATAGACCCTCCCAGTTTCCTCCCAGTCCCTCCCAGTTCCCACATTGACCCAGTTCTTTCCCAGTCCCTTACAGTTGGCCCCAGTCCCCCTATAGCCCCCTCCCAGACCCTCACAGTACTCCCGGTGCCCCCTGCCCCACCTGCCCCTGGATCTGCAGGCACTGGCTGGGGGATCCCCCTTATATCCCCCCTCCCCCCCCAGCTGCGTCACTGGGAAGGGGGGAGGGCGGGCATGGACAGACAGGTGACCTCAAGGCCACCCTACTGCCCCATGGGGACACTGTGACCCCTCTGGATCTACAGGGCACTCCCCACTTCCATAGGGGCCTCCCTCTGCTTTGTCATCCTACAGGACCCTCACTGCCCCAAAGGGTCCAGTGACCCCTTTGAACCTATAGAGCTCCTCCAACCCCACAGAAGCCCCCACATATCTCACCCCCACATATCTCATCCCCACAGTTCCCCCTTACCTCACAGGACACACTTTCAGCTCCATAGGTCTCCCCCAGTCCCACAGGACACCCCTTTAGCACTATAAGAAATCCATAGGGTTCTCCTCAGGGTTCCCATATTTCTCTCCATTTGGCCCCTGTAATTCCCCCCAGCCTCATAGGGCTCACTCTCAGTCCTATTGGACATCCCCGCCCCCAGTCCCATGGTCCTATAGGACCCACTCCCAGCCCCATAGGACCTCTATATGTTCCCCTATAGAATCCTTATAGCTTCCCCCACAACACCCACTTCCAGCCCCACAGAATCACCACAGGGCTTCCCCAAACCCATAGGACACCCCCCTCTCAGCCCTGTAGGGGCCCCCCCCTCCCCCCCCCCCCCGTGGTTTATTATGGGATGAATGAGGCAAACCAAAAGGCTTGCCCAGATGCCTGAGTCCCCCCTGGGTGGAGGAGGGGACAGACAGACAAAGGACAGGTGTGACCCCCCTTCCCCCTCGAGGGAACTCAAGAATCTGGGCCCCTCCTCCCATCCCTTTGTTCCCTCCCCCTCCCCCCACAATGGGATATTTTTGGGACATACCCCCCCAGCCCCTGACATCTGATCAGTTTGTGACGCCAATGGGGCTGTGGGGCACCTTCACCTCATAACCATATATGGGGCTGGCCCTATAGGTCCCCATTCCCCCCCCTCGACCCCCATAACTCACCTAAGAATAGCTAGGGGGACCCAGGCATCCAGGCCCCATAAATGCCATTAGACCCCATATAGGGGACTCAGATGTCTGAATTTCCCCTAATTTTCCCAATTTCCCCCCAAAGTTTCTTGATTTTTCCCCAGATTTCCTTGTTTTCCTTTGATTTTCCTAAATGTCCCCCAATCTGCCACAAATTTCCTTGATTTCTCCTTGTTTTCCCCAAATTTTCATCAATTTGCCATGAATTTCCTTGGTGTCCCCTGAGGTTTCTCCAAATTTCCTCATTTTTCCTGCAATTTGCCCCAAATTTCCTTGTCTTCCCCCTGATTTTCCTAAATTTCCTGTTTCCCCCTGATTTCCTCAAATTTACACCAAATTTGTTTAACCCAACTTCCCTCTAATTTCCCCCATTTTGCTAACTTTCCCTGAATTTCCCCTAATTTCTTCTAATTATCCCCAGATTTCCCCAAATTTTTCTTACTCTGCCCTTTTTTCACCTAAATTTCCCCTTATTCTCCCTCAGTTTGCCCCAGCTTCCCTAATTTTTCCATTATTTCCCCTACACTTCCCTAAATTTTTATACATTTTCTGATTCCCCTAAAGTATCTTATTTCCCCAAATTTGCCCCAATTCACTCTAATTTTCCCCAAAATCCCCAGTTTCTCCTAATTTTCCCTGAATAGGTTTCTAAGTCCCCCTAACTGAAATTTATTTCCCCAATTTACCCAGTTTTTCGTCTTTTTCCCATCATTTGTACTACTTTACCCAAATTTCCTCTTATTCCAACAATAATTTGCCCCAATATCCCTTAATTTTCCCCAATTTTCCTGATTTTTCCCTTTATTTCCTCTATTTCACCCTAATTCCCCCTGATTTTCCCCAGTATTTCCACAAATTTTCTTATTTTCTCCAAATTTTTCATAATTCACTCCAATTCTTTATTGGATGGGGGGAAAACATGGTGACAAGGATGAGAAAAAGGCTGAGTTACTTCATGCCTCCTTGGCCTCAGTCTTAATAGTAAGACCAGTTGTTCCTGGGATACCCAGGACTGCTAGCTGGAAGATAAGGGTGGGAAGCAGAACAAAGTCCCCATAACCCAAGGGCTGTGCCGCCCAGACACTTTGCTCCCAGATATTTCCTTCCCTGGAATGTGCTCCTGGTCCCGCAGAAGCTCCTCAATCTCCTGGGACAGGCAAGGTCAGCCACTGCTTCTCCCTTGGCTGAAGAGCACTTGAGCTTGGTTTTGACTGAGGGAGCTGGAACTTCCCTTGACTTTACTTTTGACAATTGGGCTTTTCGTGTCTCTTCAGACAAAACCTCTCTGGGCTTCCAACCCCCTCTCGCCCCCACCCACTCTGTAATGACCGAGCTTCCTTTCCTGGTGCTTCTCTTTGGTGCCAAGAGCACTCTCATCTCTTCCCTTTGACTATTTGTGTTCCTGACCATCATACCAAGCTGTTTCTGTGCTGCCCCATCTGCCATCCTGCCTTCCATACGTGCTTCCCTCCAAGTGCTGCCAGCTGCCATCAGAGCCACCTCCCACCCACCCCAGACATGCTCCCCTGCCTGTTTGCATCCCAGGCACAATAGGCTCACACTCAGTCTGGGGAAAATAAATAGGATTTATTGCCAGATAAAACTGACCTGACCCCTTCCCCCCTTCTTTGGCAGGATCCTTATGGGACCTGACTCGATACAGGCAGGAACCATGGCTCAGGTTCCACAATGGCCCAGCACCTGCAGCCTGAGGTAGTTCCGGAACCTAGAGGCCTCCTTCTGAAACAAGAAGATGAGATGAATGGCTTTTTCCTCTCTGCCATGAGGCTCCTGACAGAGCAGTGCTGCAGAGACCAGATCTGCAGTAACAGGTGTAAATACAGACTGCTGAGACAGTTCTTTCTTTGCAGTACACCCTTGAGGAGGGCCCAAGACCTGGACGGAGAGAAAGGTATGACTAAGGCAACTCTAATTCCTGCCACAGTACTCTCTTCCCATACCAGGAAGTGTGAGACAACAGGAAAAGGAAGTTTGGCCATACACAGGGCCTATTCTAGCAGCACCAGCCTTTTGGATGGCTGTGACAGGGAACTAGAGGACAATACACGATCAAGGGAGGAGAGAAATCTCTGTGTCAAGCCTTCTGCAGTGTGCCCTTCCTTACACCTCCAGTAAAGCCTGGGACCTCAGCTTCCTGGAGGGCACACTTGGCAATGGCCTTTATGCTGCCATCATGGATGGAGTCCTATACTTCACTCTCCAAAGAAGGGGCAATGGATTTTATTGATACAAGAATGAGTTAACAAAGTTCAATGGCAAGTCTGACAGTGACTTAACAAAAAAATACTCAGTACACTTGAGTGTTTACTGCAGAGAGGACAGACAAAATTTCTTTGACCTTGAGGAGTCCCCTTTAGAGCTGTCCCTACTCAAGGGAAGATCCTGGCATGCAGCCCACCACTGTGCAGGAGAGCTCAACAGGCTGCCCACTATTTATGGAATAGGATGAGTCATGGTCATATCTGCACACCGACTACAGATGTTTTTTCTTCCAGCCTTGGTGCAGTCAGACCTGGAACGGCACTGTGGTTAGGGCGGTGTGTTGTTCAGATTGGCCACTGGCCATGGTGTTGTTCTCTATCTCCCTTGAATCCACTTTGGGTGGATACAGCCATCACCACCAGACGTGTCCATGACAACCAACTGCCATTTGTGTCACTGGTTTACTCCCCCTTCTCACTGGGAGATAAAGGTCAGGTTGTGGCAGGGGGAGCACGCCTCACAGCTCCATCACTGGTGACAAGACTCTTCCTGGAGCTGACGCAGGGTCAGAGCTTCACTCAGTGCTTCTCTTAACTTGTTTTCTGCAGGCCAAGAAAAAAG